TTTTTTTTTATTCTTTTGATTTGTTTCTTGATGTCTCATAAAATCATTAGCTTCCAATTGCCCAATTCTAATTTTTAAGCAATTATTTTCTTCAGTGAGCTTTTGTACTTCTTTTTCCATTTGGCCAATTCTGCTTTTTAAGGTGTTCTCTTGATTGGATTTTTGTGCCTCTTTTACCATTTAATCTATTCTGTTTTTTAAGGTGTTATTTGCTTCAGTATTTTTGTGCCCTCCTTCACCAAGCTGCTGACTCTCTCTCATTATTTTCTTGCATTACTCTTATTTTTTCCTAATTTTTCCTCTGCATCTCGTATCTGATTTTTAAAATCCTTTTTGAGCCTTCCCAGGGCTTGAGATTAATTTACACATTTTTCTCTGAGGCTTTGGATGTAGCCATTTTGACTCTGTCTTCTTCTGAGTTTGTGTTTTGATCTTCCCTGTTACCATAATAACTTTCTATGGTCAGGATCTTTTTTTGTTTGCTCCTTTTTCAAGCCTATTTCTTGGGCTGGTCTCTGCTTTTGGGGTTGAGGGGGCACTGTCCCAAACTTCAGGTTTTTTGTGTAGCTGTCTTCAGAGCTAGTTCTTGGGACCTGTAAGTTTTCAGTCTTCCAAGGTGGTGTGAGCTAAGGAGAGGTGTGTTTAACTACTCTCCTGGCCCGTGCTCTGGTAACTATAAACAGGGTCTTTGCTCCCATGTGGCCTTAAGTTCTGACGTGCTTGTGCTCCTCCTTGCCCTGGGATTGAGACCCAGGAATATGACCTGGATCCGAGGATGGGCAATGCAAGAGAGTCTACCCCTGCTGCCAGCAAAGGGACCCCTGTGATCTCCTGACTAGTTGTCTGAGTCTGGAAGCCACCACTGCTGCTACTCATTCAGTTGCCCCTAAGGCCTGCTACCATTTTATTGGAATCTGGTCTGAGCTGGTGCAGTCTATGCTGGACTGCACTATACACTCCCTCTCCCAATGTGACACACCTTTCCTGCTGATCTTCTAATTTGTTTCGGGCTTAAAAATTATTTCACCCTGTCCTTTTGTGGATTCTGCTGTTCCAGAATTGTTTTGACACACTGTTTAAAGTTGTTTGGAGGGGAATTTGGGAGAGCTCAGGTGAGTTCCTGTCTTTTCTCTGGAATCGTGGCTCTGCCCCCTCCTACCCTGGCTTTCTTATTGCTCAGTTATGTTTACTGGAAATCTAACCTCCTTCTTTTAATAGTCTCTCTATACTTCTAGTTTCTCAGCTAGAAATCTTAGCCACCTGTGACTCCCCTTTCTCTTTCTATGTTGTCAAGTTCTATCTATTTCTTCCTTCTCAACCTGTCTTTTGGATTCTTATATTTCCTATTTCCATTCCTATCAACAATTAGCTGAAAGGCAGCATGGCCTAGTTCATAGAGATAACATGTCATACATCTAAAATTAGAATAGACTTCAGATTCCAGAGCTAGCCTTATAGTAATAAAGTTCAGTATTCAAGTCCCCCTTCTTATTTATACTGGCTGTATGATCCTAAGTCATAATTTCTAATTGCCCCATACAACTTTCTAAGACTATGTGTGAGTTGAAGTGCTGATCTGAAGGGCAGAGAGAATTTCTTCACATGGAGTTCCCTACACCAATGAAATAACAGATCTGGTCCAAACATCACTTCCACAACAAAACAACAACAAACACCTTAATTAACTAGCCTAGGCTAGCTCCTCAGAGTCATTCAGTGTCAGAGTTGAAAGGGATCATAGGAGCATATTCTGGAGTTGAAAGGGATATCAGAGGCCATCTATTATAACCTTCCCATTTAACAAATAAGGAAACTGAGGCCCAGGGAGATTAAGTGAATTGTTCAAAATGACATAGGCACTGTGTACTGTGTACTGCTATGTGGTACCCAGGTACTTCAGATCGAGTGTCAGGACTCTCTCAATTGTACCTATAAATCAAGCCATTTAGGCCTAATGCATAGCTAAAAATGAACTTCCATTATTATACCCAGCCAAATGGTCATGTTGTCTAGGTTCTACTTGAAGACTTCCAATGAGGAGAAACTCACAACCTCCAGAGGCAGCCCATTTTGCTTTTGGATAGCATTAATTGTTATGAAGTATTTCCTTAGTAATGAAAGCCCAAAATTGTCTCTTTGTATTCACTGAACCAAGTTTTTTTTTTATGCTGAGGCAAAATAAAACAAGTCGAAACTCTTTTCTACATGATAATCTTTCAAATATTTGAATACAGCTATTATGATCTCTATAAGTCTTCCATTCTCTAGTCTATTTTCTATTCTAGGTAAGTTACTGCCAGTTTCTTCAATTATGCTTATTAAAAGAACCTCCAAAAAGAGAGTATGGTCACTCTCCTCTCTAATCCATTTTGCAATTAAATGCTATACATATGAATCAATCAATCAATCAGTACCCATTTATTAATGGCTACTGTATGTGAAGCATAGTGCTGTGTGCTGGGGATATAAATACAAGGAATGAAATAATCCTTTCTCTCAAGTAGCTAGCACTTTAACAAGGGAAACAAGTTTACGTGTATGTGTATACGTACATATATATACATGTTATATATATATAATATTATACTATAAAGAGAATAAATATAAGCAAATATAAAATGGTTAAATACAAGGCACTTTTAGAAGGAAGACAGAAACTAGCAGTTTGGGAGATTAGCAAAGGCTTCAATTAAGAAGTGCTGCTTGAGTTGTATCCTGAAGGAAGAAAGGAGGCATAGGGGAGGAGAAAGTGAGGATGGCTAGTGGAGATGGGAGAAGGAGTATAGTATGTAAGAAACTGAAAGAAGGCTATGTTGGCTGGACTGCAGAATTTTTGAGGGAAAATAATACATAGTGAGGCTGAAGACATAAATCAGAACCAGGCCTTGAAGGGCTTTAAAAACTAAACAAAGGAGTTTTGATATTTTATTCTAATAAGGAAACGAGATCCTAGAGTTTACCGAACAGGGGAGTGACATGGTGAGATCTGTGCTTATAGAAAATCATTTTGGCAGCAGTATGGAGGATGGTAAGATATGTGAGGTGAGAAGACTTAGGAGGTTATTTCAGTTCTCCAGGTAAAAGGTGATTAAGGACTGAACTAAGGTGTTATCTGTGTGAGAAGGAGGAAGGTGTCAGATCTAATAGCTATGGACATAGAAATCGAAAGATAAGGCAACTGATTGGACATGTGGAGTGAGAGAGGATAAGAATAATACTGAGATTAAAATTCTGAAGAACTAGACAAACAGTGGTAGAAATGGGGGTACATGCTGTATGAGATGTCTCAGGGAAATCCAGTTTGAAATGTCCAACAGGCAACTAAAGCTTAAGGGAAAGATTAGGGTTAGGTATATAGATTTGTGAGCTATTGGCATAGAGATCATAATTAAATTTGTGGAAGTTGACATGGTCATCAATATATATACAATCTCCCAAATATATCCGTTTCAGCATTTCACTCCCCTATTTAGGAATACACTATGGTTTCCTATTGCCCATTGGATAAAATCTAAACTTGTATGCCTAGTATTCAAATCTTCCATAAAATGGCCCTATGAATATAATTTTATTTACTTTTGTGGTCTAATATAAACACTCAATTCCCAGCTGAGGCAGGTCTGTTTGCTCATGGATTTATTTACTCAACTTCAAGTTTTGCTTATTATATTTTCTTTGCCTAGAGGACTCTATAGTCCTTTTGTTCTCTCTTCTTTGGCCTGAAAACTTAGCACAAATACTGCCTTCTCTAGGAAGTACTTAATTCAATTTAATTTAAAAATATTTTTTGAAACACTATGCTAGGTTCTGTAGATAAGAAGACAAAAATGAAGCAGTTCCTGCCCTCAAGAAGCTTATATTCTATTAGAGAGACAGTAAAAATATAAGTAAATACAATATAAACTAAGGAGAGGAAAAAGTACAAATACTTTGGGAGGCTTAGGGAAATAGCATTACTGCAGAACCTTCAATAAGATAAGGATTCTGAAAAGAAAAGTTCAGGAGGAAACTCTTCCAGTCATAAGGGATAGCTTGTGAGAATCAGGTAGGGGACGGAAAGGAAACTTTGCGAAGCGCTAATATGGCTGTTATGTAGTGTGGGGGTAGGAAAGGAATGTGACATAAAGATGGAACCATATTCTGGATGACAGACTAAGAAGCTTGTGTTTTATCCCAAGGTTAATAGGTAGTCACAGAAAGTTTAGGAGTAGGGTCAGAGCTGTGCCTCAGAAAAGACTGTCTTAGAAGCTCTTTGGAAGATGTATCGGACAGGAAAGAAAACGGATACAGGGTGACCAACTGGCAGGCTATTATAATAGCCTGGACAAGAGGCAATAAAAGCCTCTTTTAGGGTGGTGGCCAGTGAGCAAATAGAAGGAAAGGGATGTGAGAGACATCCCTAAAATAGAATAAGACTTGAATATAGAGTTCATAATGACTTTTCCCTTCTCCGAACAATACTTAACATCTACGCTGTCTTATGTTCCACAATTGTTTCTTATATTCAGTCTCAATCTCAGTGGAAGCTTCTCAAGGGAGCTTGTTTCTTATACTTCTTTTGTATTCCCAGAGGACCTTGCACAATTGCTCAGCAGCTAAGAGGCACTTAATAGTCATTTTTTGACTATCTGAAACAAAAGCAATCATTCACCAATTCCTTAGTAAAGAGTAAATTTTGAAAGAGAATGGATCAATCACTTTCTAGATTACTTTAGAAAAAGAAAATTTCACTCTATCCATAACTATCATGAAACTCTTAACTGTACAAGTCACAGTCTCCTTGGAAAGGATATATTAAACAAAAAATCTAATTATCATTAAGCTTTCACTTTTATACTAACTTAGAACTATCCCAAATTCTCTCCAAATAACAGGAAACATGATAATAATGCCAGTACATTTTCAGTTCTATTTAAAATTCTAGGATGATGCTATCATTTCTTTAGTTCTGTTAAACGATTAAATTAGTAGAGATGGAATTTTAAAATGAAAATGCTCACCTTTAATTTCAAACTTGACTAGCAGATTGATCCCCAATGTCATGGCAATATTCGAGAGTAGACAGGCAGACAGCTTTTGTTTAAGACTCATCTGGTTATATCGAGAATTAATGAACAAGTATGGAAGGTAGGTGATGAAGTAGATGCACCCTCCTGTAGCAACAGCCATATTAGCTGAAAATTTTGAGGGGGGAAAATAGAGATAATTTAAACAATATACAACAAAAGAAACAAAACCCTTTGGAAAATGACAAGCAACAAAATTACCTCTAAGGGGCCATTTTTGCATCATTTAATCACACATGATTTTGTTCATGATAGTTCCCCTGATGATTTCTATGAATTTACATCCAATAAAGCCCTCAAAACTCATCTCTCCCAGAAAAACTTCAATTCATCCCACCCTCACCCATTTGAATATTTATTCTGCATCCTCTTGGAAATAACATAATGCTTTATATTATTTAGCATCTTTTAAAAATGCCCTCTCAATTTGCTTCCTAAGTGTATATATCTAATTGTCTCTCAATTAGACTATAAACTCCATGAAGCCTTATATGATATTTTATATATAGTACACACATTATTCAATATATCCTTGCTATTTGGTCCTTCTCCTTTTACCCTGACATTTTTCTTGCTTACCGAATGATTTTCAAGTTTTATTAATGCCATTTCTACACCAGTCAAGATCCACAATAATACTCCACTACCTCAAACACTATGATCTGTTCAGTTAGGTTGTGCATTTTACTTCCACTTCTTTTGGTAGCACAAAAGATGGTGTTGAAATTATTTTGGTATACACCTTGTAATGGGATATTTGGCTCAAATATCCTCTATTTCATTAAATTTCCCCCCAAAGGATTATAATCACATTTGCTGGGTAGGTTATTATTCTTGGTTGTAATCCTAGCTCCTTTGCCTTCTGTAATATCATATGCCAAACCCTGCAACTTCTTTAATGTGGAAGCTGCTAAATCTTGCATGATTCTGACTGCAGCACCATGATATTTGAATGTTTCTTTCTGGATGTTTGCAATATTTTCTCCAGGAACTGAAACTTTGGAATTTGGCTATAATATTCCTGGGAGTTTTCATTTTGAGATTTCTTTCAGGTGGTGATCAGTAGATTCTTTCAATTTCCATTTTACCCTCTAGTTCTAGAATACCAGGGCAATTTTCCTTGAAAATTTCTTGAAAGATGATGTCTAGGCTCTTTTTTTTTTTTTTTTTGATCATGGCTTTCAGGTGATCCAATAATTTTTAAATTATCTACTTGATCTATTTTCCAGGACAGTTGTTTTTCTAATGACTTATTTCACATCTTCTTCTATTTTTTTTCATTCTTTTGACTTTATTTTATTGTTTCTTGATGTCTCATAGTCATTAACTTCCACTCATCCAATTCTAACTTTTAAGGAATTGTTTTTTTCAGTGGACTTTTGTACCTCCATCCATTATTTCAGGCCAAGTTCAAATGACAAGTGCTCCAATAAATATCCCTAAGGATAGGGAATGGAACTGTGGTTTCACTGGTATAGGGAACTCCTTGATGAGGAAACTCCCTCCACCAATGCAGATCAGTACCTTCTCAGCAATTTGTTTACCATTTTAAGAGAGTTATTTAGAGCACTGAGAGCTTGAGTGACTTGCCCAGGGTCCCAGAGCCAGGATATACCAGAGGCAGGACTTGAACACAAGTTTTCATGGTTCTGAGACTAGTTCTCTGTTCACTACCCTTAGTTTCCTTTAGTTCCTTTAACTGAAAATATTCTAAATGCTTTCAATTTCCAAAGTATCTGCTATATCTTGGAGCATTATATTCTACATATTCTACATTATATTATAATTATCTGTGAATGTCTAATTTCTCCACAAATTTGTAAGTACCCTGAGGAAAAAGACTTCATCTTATGTATCTCTGTATTGTTCCACAATACCTAACAAGCACTTAAAAATGTTGCTCGATATTTTCAGATGAAACCTCCATACTTCTGATGCTACCTGACAAAAACTTAGTACCTTCCTTCAGCCATCATATACCCAATCCAGTTTTAGTTGGTATTTAAAAAAATAAATGGAATAGAAGAATTCAGAGTCAGAATATTGCACAGTCTTTTCATCCCTCAATATTCTCTCAGGCCATTTATCCCAGCTGTGGTTTCAATTTCCTCTCTTCCCTGTCTCAATCCTATAGATAATCACTTCAACATTATACTTTCCTTTCCTCTCAAGTCCCTTGCTTCCTCATTCTTTATAGCCTAGGCTTTATGCCATCTCAGTCATGAACCATCCATGTCCTCCACTCCTACTCATGTGTCTCTGAATAGAAATGGAGGAAGTCATGTTAGCATGCTGAGCAGGATGACTATAAATTTATGCTATTTAATCCCAAATGGGCTCTCACTGAAGTAGTAGAGCAATTCTTTTAATCCTTCCATTTATTCTCTCTCCTACTCCTCAAAAAGTTTTTTTAAATCTCCTCTTCTTTCCTGAAACTTCCCATATCTTCTCCTAACCTAACCCTCTCAGCTGAGGACCACACTTTATCTTTATTGAAAAATATAAAGACCATTTGCTGTAAGCTCCATCTTTTCTACATCTTCAAACTCCTTGACATTATTTACCGTTCTCATTTTAAGCTCTCATGAAGAGATGGCTCTTCCTGCTAAAGTCAACCCTTCTATATTTTCCTCTGTACCCATCCCCTTGCTTCCATCTTTTTTGGCGGACTGCTAACAGAGTCACTACCATAATCACCCCCTTCCCATCTCATGTGCTAATTTTCAATTTCTCCTTATCTACTGTTCCAACCTTATTGCTTATAAACATGTCCAAGGCTCCTGAATCTTTAAAATACCTCTATTTGATTCCTCCATTCCTTCAAGTTATGGCCCCTTTTTCCCCTTCCTTTTGAAGACAGACTCCTACAGAAATCTGCCTACTCTTATTGCTCTCACCTCTTCTCACTTCTTAATCCTTTGCAATCTGGCCTCTGACCTCATTTAACCAAAACTGCTTCCTCCAAAGTTACTAATGAGTTCTTATTTGCCAAATCTTACAAGTTTTTTCTCAATCATCATCTTTTTTGACTTCTTTGCAGCATTTGACACTGTGGACAACCCTCTCCTTCTAGATATTCTTTTTCCCTCTGTGTTTCCAGAACAATGCTATCTCTCTTGGGACTTCTACATATTTGACCACTTCTTCTCTGGATTGCCATTCATATTCCACCCCAAAGATATACCCCAAGACTCTGACCTATATTCCTTTTCTCTAGTATCCCTCCCTAACTGACCTCTTAAGCTCCTATGGGTTTAATTAGTACCACTATACAGACAACTCCCAGATTTATATATCCAATACTAATCTCTCTTTTGAGTTCCAGTCTTGCATCATCAACTACCCATTAGATATTTTGAAATAGATGTCTCATACCTAATATCTAAACATTTTTCATTATCTTTAACCCTAAAACCACTTCTCTTCCAGATGCTTATTGCTGTCAATGATACCACCAACCTTCTCGTCATCCAGATTAGTTATCTTTGAAGTCATCCTCTATGCCTCATTTTCTCTCAACTCCTCACATATAAATAGTTGTCAAGTCTTATCAATTATATTTTCATAGCATGTTTCACAGCCTGCACTCTACCCCTATAGCTATTACCCTAGTTCAGATTTTTATCATTTCTCACCCAGACTATTTGTTTTTTAACTGGTCTTTCTGACTTATGTCTCTCCTCACTCCAATCCAACTTCCATATAGTTGCCAAAGAGATTTTCTTAAAGTACAGGTCTGATGCTTGTTTTTCCCTTACTCAATGAACTCCAACGGCTCCCTGTCATCTCTAGGATCAAATACAACCTCCTCTTTTTGGCATTTAAAGCCTTTCTCAGTTTGGCTCCTATATACTCCCCCTCCCCACCCCAATGTACTTTGGAAATATTTTGCATATAATTTTATACACACACACATACACACACACACACACACACACACACACACACACACACAATCTCCCTAGTTTCATGTGGGCAGGAATTGTTTAATTCTTATATCTGGATTCCCAGAGTCTATCACACAGGAGGTGTCTAATAAATCATATTGGTTGATTGATTGCATATGTGCAATCAGATTTTTTCCTCTAGAGAAAACTCTTTAAGATGAGGTTCCTAGAAATATATTCTGCCAAAGTGGGGACTGCTTTACAAGAATTTAATACCAATTGACATAGTACTTTGTGCAAAGATAATCAATGCATTCTATAAGAAATTACACTGCTATAGAATTAAATATCATTCTGACATGGCTATCGTCATAATATATATCAACAGTTTGAAAAGAAATATCTTTATCCATAAAAATTGGACTAAAAGTAGTAACCCAATTGAGAACAATTTCCTACGCAGCAACTATGCGGTCAGTCCTATTTTAGACACTGGAAAGGAATGGAGTACAAAAATTAATGGATCTGAAGTAAGATAAAATAAGAATGGAAAAGAGTTTGGGCTAGCTGTGACTCCTAATCCTCTCCAACCTGGCTAGTCACTCCACAGCAGTGAAGGATGAAAGGAAACAACCAAATAAATCCTCAGTGCATCTGCAAGAAAAGACTGATGATTTGTCAGGGAAGAACTTTCTAGTCTCACCTTTATTGAAGAATGTACTGATCATGAAGCTGAAGAACAAGGAAGAAATGGCAAAACACACCAGAAAGATAAACACCAAAGATGGGTCACTGTTGCGAAGTATTGGTTGGTTAAAAATCTACCAAAAATATTTAAAAATCATATCAGTCACACAGGTACATGTTATTACATAAAAACAAGGGAAAGATGGGAAGAGAATAGAAAATGTTTAAAATTCCTGCATGATTAATGCAATTAATCCAAAACTCTTCATGGCAGGAAGGCATAATGGATATAGAGCAAGCCTCAGAGTCAGAAGGACCTGGATTCAAATTCCACCACTTACACACAATGGCTAGATGACCTTGGATAAGTCACTTAACATCTAATGCCCCAGGAAACTCTCTAAGATTAAAAGGTGCAAAATGTTCTGCCTTGGCAGAAGGAATTTCCTCTCTTGGAATTCCCAAAAGCAGTGCCTGGAGGCCAGTGGGATGTGAAATAAACTAGACTACTCACTTTTCAAGGAACAGCAAAACGGCTCCTTAAAGTTAAGGTATTATTTCCTAGGACACTAACCTATAGTTTTGATTAGACTCAAGATTTCTAAAACAATCACTATTAACTAATTTCATTCATAGATTTAGAGTTGGAAGCACTCTCAGAGGTCACTTAGTCTAACTCTATTATTTTACAGATAAAGAAACTGAGGCCCCAAGTAATTTGTTCAAAGTCATACAAGTAAATAAGTGGTAGAGCTGGGATTAGAACCCAAGCCTTCTCTTACCAAATCTTTCACTTTCTTGTGTACCACCCTGCTTTCCTCTATCAGCCTTCCCAATATCAAACATCCTTTACAATAGAATTTCAGTATGACAGAAGAAACCAAATACTTGCCTTAATGAAGAAAAACATTGTCATCAAACTGATGGTAATGAGAAAAGAACAGACGAATGTGATGAAATAGGAAGCCCGTAACAGCCAGCTGCTGAGTCCCATCATTTGAAGGTATTCCTAGGAGGGAATTTGGGGAGAAGGAAGAAGGAAGTAACATAAACCAAATGGCACAAAATCAAATAATTACCTGGCTACTGGTTTGTCAGAGTAAACGGTTAAATAAATCTGTGAAGGTCTTTTATATCCAAACCCCTGAATGTAGGTGAGAAACTTTTATAGGTATCATTTATGATGGCTATGGAAGCTAGTTTTATCCCTGTTATTGGTCAGTGGAAATCTCTAAATTAGGCCACAGAAAAATAAGAAAGGGAGAGTATGTAGAATATTTAACAATGAAATTGGTGAATCATAGAAACAAACTTAAAAGATAAGAATGGACTACAGAGATCACTTAGTCCAACACCCACTCAAAGTATAGATTTTATATTAACAACATCCCCAACAAAGGAGTTACCTAGTCTTTGCTAGATGACATCCAGAGATAGATAATGGAAAGTTTTCCTTAAAATGAGCCAAAATTTGCCTTTCCATAACTACCATCCGTAGAGATTCTTTAGAAGTTTGGCAGCACAGTGGCTCTGGAGTCAGAAGAACTGGGTTCAAATTCTGCCTCTGATACTTACTGGATGATCTTGGGTAAGTCACAATCTTTTTGGGCTTCAGTTTCCTTATTTGTAAAATTAGGGGATTAGATTAGATGGGTCTCTGAGTTTCCTTCCATTTCTACATCTATGAATCTATGATGTTTCAAGCTGTAGCAAAATAGGATCAGTTTCAGTTTAGTATACTGTGATGATCTGTAAAGCCAACACATAATTTTTGCTTTCAGGTTGGCTAATAATAATGAATATATTATACATTATGGTGTTGTACTATTGTGTTGTGTGGATATTATAATTCTATGGTTTGGGGTCACAGTAAAAGAAGATGTCTTTGTTTCTTCAATTTCCAGAGGTGATAGATAGAAAGGAAAGGGATAAATATCCAGTAAAAGCAATGGAAGAAAGTAAGTAACACACTGGTCCTGGAGGAAGAAGTCAAAACAGTACTTTTCTACTCTCACTCCAGAGCTCTTTTGAAGTCCTCTTGATCACCAATCCAAATTATGTTGGCTATATGCCTACCTCCAGGTCATTCTTTCTTCCTTTCTCAAGGAATTCAATACTTTGCTCACCATCATCCTCTCCTACCCAAATCCGCCCTTATCCTAGGGGACTTTAATATCCCTTTAGATCAGAGGTTCAACAAACCTCAAGGAGTTCACAGATAGATTTCAGAGGGTCAGTGAACTTAGATGAAAATGATTATATTTTTATTTTAATTAACTGTTGGTTTCCTTTGAAATCATATATAACTTTTTTATGCATTTAAAAACACTATTTGAGAAATAGATCTGTAGGCTTCAACATTATCTATTGTCATGTCCATGACACAAGAGTGATTAAAAACTTAAATGCTCCCTCAAATTCCTTGACTTCCCAATTCCTCAGCCCCCTTAAACTTTTGACCTCCTGCTTCACTCCATCTTGGCCATATATAGGGATGAACATACTAGATCTCACCATTATACATACACACTCCATTTCTCTATTTAGAAACTGCTGTGGGAGATCCATAGGTGTTACACATTGCATATGTATTCAGAGTTTTTCTATGTATTGATCAGTTGTGTTGATCTTTTTTTCTCTAAAAAAATTGGCTCTCTGAGATGAGGAGGGAGGGATACTTAGAAAACTATGGTGACATAAGAAACAGAAATCAATAAAAACATATAAAAAAGAAACTCTGATATTCACTCATTTATCATATCCTATCATTATACTTCTTACTATGCTTCACTCCTCCTCCATCTGTTCTTTGCCTTATAAAGATCTCTGTTACCTTTATCTTTCAGTACTTTACTGTTCTAACTTCACTTTCCATCCTCTCTGGTGTCACTCCAATAGTTAGCTTTTTTTTTTTTTTTTTGCTATGATTCCCTCTGCTCTGGAATATTCTGCCCTTTTATTTTATTTCTATTCTTCTCTTGCCAAAGTCAGCATTAGATTGCTTCTACAATTTGCCTTCTCTGCTCCTACTCATGAGATACTAAACAAATCTCCCTAGAAGTTTATTCTTACAACCATCATGACTGGTCTTTATTGCAGTAAGGCATTCATTTTATGCCTCCATAATTGATGTCTTATCACTCTTCACAGAAGCTATTAAAAAAAATTATCTTCCCTTCTCAAGCACCCAACACTTCCACCTCCCTTCTCTCTCTCCATTGAGTACCTTGCCTCTTACTTTACTGAAAAAAAAACCAAAACAAAAACCAACTGAAATTAAGGACCAGCAAAACAAAAATTTTAAAGCATCTAAGACTGAGTTATGATGGGGAAATTTAAGGAAAAATTATAGTGAGTCATTTTCCCGGCTCAGGTCATCTTAGGAAGACACAGAAAGGTGTGAGACCAGGAGCCAAGATGGCAGAGTAAAAAGGTCGGGTGCTCTTACCCTCCCCTATCAACCTCTGAAAGCCCAGAAAATATCACCCCTAGGAAAAACCCTGGAACAGCTGAACTAGAAGCAGCAGCAGTGCAGTAGCCCAGGTAGCTTGAGGGATTAATGGGAAAGGCCCCTCTAGCACTGGCGAAGGGGAGCAGTATGGAACAGGAGGTGTTCCAGCAAGGTAGTGGAAAGCCCTATTTTAGCACACCAGGAGGAGATCCTGAAACCCAGGTGGTGGAGCAGGCAAACACCAACACCTGGACCTCCCAGTGCCTCAGTGAGGACGGAACAGGTGGAAATCAGCTCAGAAAACCACCAGGTGCCTCGGCATTCTATAGCAAACAGGTCTCCCCAGTGCCTCAGCAAAAATAGGGGAAGCAGCACTACAAAGGGCCCCAGGTATATAAATAACCTGCAACATCCATCTGAAAGGAGCTGAAGAAAGCGAAAGGAAAGGAAAAGCAGGCAACCTAGAGTTGCCCTAGAGTTCCAACCTTGCTGATTCCAGCCTAACACTGGGTAAGCTTCCAGAACCCTATAGCCTCCAACTGCCAACATCGGAGGCCCCAGTACACAAAGTCAGTGACCAAGACATAGGCTCCCAACACAAGAAGCTTGGATCAGTGCCCTCTGCTCCCCAGCAGGAGAGCTCAATCTCTTTAAAAGCCAGGGAATAAGGAAACACCATGAGCAAAAAGAAAATGTACCACAGATTCATATTATGAGAACAGTGAAGATCAAGGCAGAAATTCTGAAGAGGACAACAAACCCACATCTGCAACCTCAAAAGGGAATATGAACTGCTCTGAAGCCCAAAAAGCCTTCTTAGAAGAGCTCAAGAAGGATTTTAAAAGTCAAATGAGAGAGGCAGAAGAACCCTTAAAAAAATACAATTGGCCAACTGGAAAAAAAGTGCACTGAAGAAAACAAGTCCCTAAAAAATACAATTGGCCAAATGGGAAAGGAGATACAAAATCTAATTGAAGAAAACAATTTGTTAAAAATTAGAATCGGGCAAATGGAAGCCAATGACTCTATGAGAAGGCGAGAATCAGTCAAACAGAAACAAAAAAAAAAGAAAAAATGGATGAAAACGTAAAATACCTCATTGGTAAAAACAACTGACCTGGAAAATCGATCCTGGAGAGACAATTTAAAAATTATTAGTCTACCTGAAAATAACAATGAAAAAAAGAGCCTGGACAGTATCTTTCAGGAAATCATAAAGGATAACTGCCCTGAGGTCCTAGAACTAGAGGGTAAAATAGCCATAGAAAGAATCCACCGATCACCTCCTAAAAGAGATCCCAAATTGAAAATGTCAAGAAATATAGTAGCCAAATTCCAAAATTACCAGGTCAAAGAGAAAATACTGCAAGCAGCCAGAAAGAAACAATTTAAATATCATGGAACCCCAGTCAGGATTACACAGGACCTTGCAGTTTCTACATTAAAAGACTGTAGGGCATGGAACATGATGTTCTGTAAGGTAAAGGAGCTTGGATTACAACCAAGGATCAACTATCTAGTGAAAATAAGCATAATCTTTCAGAGGAGGAGATGGATATTCAACGAAATAGGGGACTTCCAAACCTTCCTGATAAAAAGACCAGAGCTCAACAGAAAATTTGATCTTCAAGTACAAGACTCAAGAGAGACATAAAAAGATAAACGGGACAGAAAGATGCAATATGTTGTTAATAAGGGCAAACTGTTTACATCCCTACAAGGGAAGATGTATTGTTATTACACCATGTTAAAGGAGTATACATAAAGGGGGTGGATATAAGTTGACTGTGATGTAATGATTTAAAAAAAATCTAATCAAGTGGGTTAAATAGATCCAAGTAAGTGGATTAATCTGATGTAAGAAAATTTACTGAGAAAGGAGGAGGCAGACAAGGGTAAATTATATTACAGGAAAAGACACAAAAACCTATTACAGCAGAGAGAAAGAAGGGAGGGAGATGAGCACTGTTTGATCCTTACTCTCATCAGATTTGGTTCAAGAAGGGAATAACATAATCAATTAGGTATAGAAATCTAACTTGCCCTATAGGTAATAGGAGGGAAAAGAGGAAAGAAAAGGGAAGGGTGATAGAAGGGAGGGAAGAAGCAGTAAGGGTAAAGGGGATGAAAAGAGAAAGGGCTAATAGAAGGGAAGAAGGACTGAGGGAGGTGGTGATCAAAAGCAAAACACTAGTGAGGAAGGAAAAGGAGAAAGGAGAAAGAAAAGCATAAACAGGAAGGGAAAAGGATGGAGAGAAAGATACAGACAGTAATCATAACTATGAATGTGAATGGGATGAACTCTCCCATAAAATGGAAGCAGATAGCAGAATGGATTAAAAACCATAATCCTACAATATGTTGCTCACAGGAAACATATTTGAAACAGAGGGACACACACAGGGTAAAGGTTAAAGGCTAGAGTAGAATATATTATGCTTCAGCTGAAGTAAAAAAAGCAGGGTTAGCAATCCTGATCTCAGACAAAGCAAAAGCAAAAATTGATCTTATCAAAAGAGATAAGGAAGGAAATTACATCCTGCTAAAAGGCACCATAG